AATGTACAAAGATGGCTGTGGTGGTGACCCAGCTGACTACCGTCCCGTTACTGTCCTTCCCGTGTTCCCCAAAGCCATGGAATCCATTGTTGCAATGTGATAACTCGCTTCGAAAAATACATTGATCTCGTCGCAGGCGATCGTGTACCACTAACCTGCTTCTGACCCGAGAGGAGCGGACAAAAAAGCAGCTGATCACGGCGATGCATTGGAAATAGTGTACCTGGACTTCTCCAAAGCATTCGACCGAGTGAACCACAAAATACTACAAAGTAAACTACACAATTATGGAATCCGGGGATTTTTACATTGGGTTGGATCGAAGAATTTGTTCGAAAACGCACCATGGCAGTTCGGGTTTCTGATCCCAATCAGCGTAATCCGAGGAATTCCACAGGGATCCGTGTTTGGCACTCAGCTGTCTTGTTTCATAAGCGATCTAACGGAAATTTTGAGGTGACAACCGTTAATTTTTGCAGACAATGCAAAAATATGAAAAACAGTGACGAAACCCGAGGACTCGCGGGCACTTCAAAGAACACTTAGCGCTACTTATCAATGTTCGATCGAAAACGACATCGAATCCAATGCGTCCAAATGTGCGGTCGTATCCCTTCGCCACAAAACTCGGTTTCCGTACTTCCTGGGGTACCAACAACTTCCGTATGTCTCGAATGAGAAGGATTTTGGTGTTATCGTTCAAGACAACCTAAGTTGTTCTTTAAACTATCTCAGGGTGTCACACATCACTGTAAGAAGTTGATTTGCTTAGGCGAATATTCGACATATTTGAACCTATGCTGTTCCCACGTCTATCATCAGCCAACAATTCCAGCTTGGAAGCTATGGTTACAACGCGATCTTAGGATTCTAGAACGTCCGCAAAGAATGGTCACCAAAATGTTTAAGGGACCGCATTCGAAAACTAGAATCATTGGGGCTGTACTATGCACAGTATCGCCGAATTCGAGGGGACTTGGTTTTGGTGTATCAAACAATGAAGAAACCATTCTCATCCACGTCGTTCACTGCTCGCCTTGTCATCCAGCACCCACCTGAGGGGACACTCATTCAAATTAGTACTCCATAATGTCCACTAGAATGCTCGCGTCATTCATTTGACCTCAGAGTGTGTACTACTTGGACAGAGTTTTGGGTAAATACGGTCGCCCACTGGAGCAAGTGATCGACCTCCATAGATTGAGGTTAGACGCAGAGTTTGGGTAAATACGGTCGCCCACTGGAGCAAGTGGTCGACCTCCATAGATTACGTTTGGCTGGAACATGTGCTACGCATGTCACCAGGTAGGTTACCACGGCGAGCGATGTTCGCCGAAGAAGACTACGCATGTCACCAGGTAGGTTACCACGGCGAGCGATGTTCACCGAAGCAGATACCGAGTGGAAGAAAGCCCAGGGTGGTCAAGTTAAGACCTGGCACGAGGGTATGAAAACCCTAACCAGGAAACTGGGTCCAGGTCCTGTTAGGCTCCCTGGCTAGGGACCTCGGGATGATCGTAAACGATGGTTAGAGACACTGAGCGATATGGCTGGGTGTCGTAAACAGTGGCGTTCGTGCATCGTAACCGCTGGTTAGAGACACTGAGCGATATGGCTGGGTGTCGTAAACAGTGGCGTTCGTGCATCTCCAATTTCTTTCCAGCCACTGAACTTCTCCATTTTCCTCTCGAATCCACTTTCAACTTTCCTTTCTTCTCCTAATCTTCATCCCAAATGGGCAGCCAAAAGACAGCAACCAAAACCGGCGCACGAAAGTGCATGGTTAATGGCTGTTCAAACTGAAACTGAACTACTCGGGCTTATCTACACAATTCCACGTTTGATTCCTTCAAGCGCACACTGGATGAAACTTTGACAATTCTTAAATTGCACGAAACTAAGACAATTTGTGACATTCCTCATCTTTCTATGAACCGTAAATCGATCCAGTTGTGCTAAACCCTATGGGATTTTGGCTTACATGATGTGCTTATATTTGTGACTCAATCTAACTTCGTTGAGGATGATCCGTGTTGTCAAGAAAGAATGCAAGAAGTCTGAGTTGTGTGGTGTGAGAGATTCTCCAACTCTGTGGTGAATCCGAGTGCACAGAACACGAGAGGGATATCATTGTCTTTCAAAGACCATGAGTTCAAGGTTCTCCGATAACTCCTCCATGAAGACAACTGAGCCTCACGTAGGAGGAATTCCCTGATAAAGAAGCGTAAGTAAATCGTGGGTCCAGTAGTGCATTTGCCACAAATTAATACCCAATGAAGTACCTGATTCGAAATTATCATTTGTAGGATAATGGATAGCTTCGAGTTATTCTTACTGTCACCTGCATCACTCACTCAGACTACCATAACGGTCGCACAGATGCAATCAGTCTGTGAAAACAGGGGGGAAAGGCGTTGGTGTCAGGTGGTCGCCATCAAGTTGATGTAGTTCACACATTTATCTTGTGTCCACGCACATTGTACTGACTACGCGACTGACCTTTTCCAACTAATGCACGGTGAGATAATCGACCCATCAGAAAGACATCAGTCACAATTAGTCATCAGTGACTAAAAGACCTTGCAGGGAAGTGAATGGTTAATGGTTGAACGAAACAAAACTGCCGGAATCCCGAGGTGATCGTCCACTTCCAACTGAATAAGTTGATCATCACGTTCTCAAATGACCAAAGTGCTTATGATCCGATTTGTTTCGGTCACTGTGGGGCACAAATGCAATTGGTTACACATGTCTGCGTGCACTAATTTCAACAGGCGCGAAATCTAAAGAGCATCGTACGTGAAATGGGAAAACTCACTGATAAGATAAGACAGTGGATGGAATTTTTCAACCGATAGAAAATTTATGAAATATTTTTTTTTGGCAAAAATCTGGGCGGAAAAATTGTAAGCTAAAGGACAGGACAATTGAGTTTTGTTCCACGAGTGACGGATAAACAACGAAATACAAGGTTGAAAAATGGTGCATGTCATATTCATTCTTAATTGTCTCTGGTCAAGATGAGGGAACAATGATGTGGGGCGGGTGGGATCGGGGGGGGAGAGAAGGTATGGCCTATTAGGAGACATGTTGAGACGTCGGGTCTATGGTAGAAACGTGATGGGCGTGGGAGGATGAACGCACAATCATTGAGTCACGAGATGCTCCTGTACCCACCCATCGAATAGGCACACCGCATAACCGTTCCACGGCTTCCACGTAGGCCTGCGCTTCCGGAGGTAAATCAGTAAAATTTCGACATCCTCGGGTACTTTGGGACCAACCGGGCATTGTTTCGTAGACGACGGTGACGTTATTCAGAACGGATAGGTCCGCAGGAAATTGTTCCAGTTCACACCCGGTCTGATTGTCGATATAAGAGTAACCTATCCGAACCTACAAAAAAAATGCATTCGGTCGAACAAACAAGACATAAGCATGTTGCAGGATTAGTCACAGTTATAATCCAAATTTACTCAGGAGGTACGAGAAATATTTAAAAAAAAAACAGAATGTGTAGAAACTACGCAGACATACGACACTCAGCAACCTCACCAAATATTGTTCAGATTTTCACAGGTATGAACGTCAAGTCATGATGCGTGGTTATCCACAAGTGAACCCAAATTAAATTTCATCCACAAAATTCATATGCAGCGTACAATTTGTCGGTGACGCGGACCAGAAAATGAAAACCGAGCAGCGGAAATACTGTTTCACAGCAACACCGAGTCAGTATAGCTCACGAGAACTAGGTTCCTTTAAAAACCAACAGCAGCGAATTCGATTGATCTGTTTAGAACGGAAGAATTCAATCGATTCACTCAAGTTGACTTGTCAATTCGATTGGGACCACCACATTCGTTACAGTAAGTCTCTCCGTGATAGCGTTTTTCAAGCCAACCCAGGGTCTCAGCTCAGGAAAGTTGCTTGTGTCTCGTGCATATTTACTTTTATTCCAGGTCAGAATTCCCAATCCCCATGCGAGGGGTTCGAATTTCACGGAGGCTACTGAACTAATCACAATCTCGACATACAAACTTCAAATCTGCCAAACAACAATTTTACATGATGAATTTGTTGTGTAAATGATGCGTGAGCTGAAAAGCTGGGAAGCACTGGACAGCTGTTTCGACCTGGTTGGGTCCCATCAGCAGTGCGCGAATCCATCGACCCAACTGGGGATCGAACCCGGGACCTCATGAGCAGAACGCAAGCATGCTACCCACCCGGCCACAGGGAAGCTGATCAGACCGTTCCTCATTTTGAATTTACACGATATAACACAACCCATCAATGTGAGGTCCCGGATTCAATCCCCAGTTCGGTCGATGGATTCGCACTGCTGATGAGACCCAACCAGATCGAAACAGCTGCTGTCCAGAACCTCCTAGCTTTTCAGCTCACACCTTATTCACACAACAAATTCATCATGTAAACAAATCAAATCCTTCATTACTCTCATACAAACACACAATTTGATCAACAAAATGTCATGATAAAATCCAACTGTGGCACAATCGAGTTTTGTGCGGAATAACGCAACAAATAGATTAGCATTGCATTCCGGTCCAGCTTTTTACCGAAACGCCGAGAAACGCACATATGCACACAAGCAAAACGGGAAATGCCAATAGGAACGATTTTTAGGAGTCGTATTTCACAATGCCTGTCAGTAGCCAATCCTAATAAAGTTTACCTGTTATGCACAGGTAAGCGTTTTGCATGGAACTCATTTCTCACCTTGTGGAACACGATTCGGTGACAGACTGGCAGACCGAAAACTTTCACATAACCATCTTTCTAAAACAATCTATTCATCGACATTAACAAACTATATCATGAACATTATCACATTTTGAGGGAGGTGGCAATTTTCTAACTTGATTATCCATTTACATCAAGGATCATGTGTTGTTTCGTCTGCCACGTGACAAAGTAGAAAAACGCTATTTAAATGGCCGATTGCATGAGATAGTGTCCTCAGGAAATGGACCCGGTTAATTTAATTGTAGATAGACATGATTGTCCCTTAAGGGAAGGGTGTACATCGCCACAGTTCGTAGTGTTCTGCTTTACGGTTGCGAGACCTGGCCCCTCCGCGTTGAGGATACTAATCGACTTTCTGTATTTGACCACCGATGTCTCCGAAGCATTGCTCGTGTCTGGTGGGAACATCGGGTGAGCAATGACGAGGTTCGTCGTCGTGTGTTGGGCGCGGATAGTCGTCCTCTAACAGAAGTAATCGCTCTGCACCACC